TACCAGGCTGGTCAGGGGCATATTTGTTAATATGGACAGGGAGGGTACCCCGAATGTCGAAGGGCCTCTTGCGCTGGTCGTGGTCCTCTTGACAATCAAAGGGGATATGAGATACGACGACTCAAGAGTCAGAACAAGAAATAAGAAAATAAAACGACCAAAATCCGATGGCTTTTGTGGGGGGGCCCCACATTTTGGAAGGCACCACAAGAAGTATAGCCCTTCCCTTGACAAAATCCTAGATCTGCCCCTGCCTATTCTAGTGCAATACAATATAATGTGATACAGCTACACTCGCTACCATTAATAGAAACCTGAGTTATTGTTATCTGGGTTATCCTGTGCTATTTAAAGTTGCCACAAACTGCGATCTGAATCCAGGTGTTATCACGTGCGAAAGTCGTCAAAAATTCGCAGACTGGTCTTACATCTGGAGGAGTAAGCATGGGAAAGCCAGGTACCTGACGGGCACCTTTTGGGTGCAAAATAAATATGCTGCTGATAGCAATGTTTGTCGTATGTTTCTGGCACCTGCTAAAACTATCCTGATTAATGCTACTACGCTTGGCAGTATTTATGGCTCAACTTCCTCATGCAGCGAAACGTCGACGGTTCGGCATGTACTCATGCTGCAAGCGCTAGCGAATACAGGCCAATTGTAAGTTTTGAATTTCGTCGAGCTGGGATAATCTGTTGTAATGTGACCACATTATTTGTCTTGTCTATTGGCATTTTTGACGCAGCTTGGTTCGCAAAAGTGTCAGTATTTGTCACCGATCATATCCGACAAATCAGAAGCTTGTTTCACCTCTGCGCTTGCCCCCCCCCCCCCTTCACACACATTCATTCACGAAAAACGACTGTCATCAGTTTACCAGTTTGTTCCCACTACGCGTTCACGTAAAACGACTCTCCTTGTTATTTACTGATCGTGTGGCATAAGTCATGGTGAGATGTTAGTTTTGATTACTTTTTTTGCATGCTGCAAGCTGGATCTTAGTTCTTGCTGGACATCTTGATTCACTGTCTGGCCTGTTCTTCTGGTTTTTGTTGGTTCCCTCCACACAACTCAGTGCTGGTCACTGGCTCTTTGTAGATAACTGCCTTCATTCTAGCGCAGTAAATGGGATTTTTGGTGCCAGAAGTAGGAACACCAAACTGGTTTGCGATAACCAAAAATAAAAAAATGGGAAAAAATGGAGAAGCCAGACAGTCGTTTATGTGTGGGAATTTCAATTCGGAACGCAGCAAGAGCTGGCGGAAATGCTTTATTTTTTATGTTGAACACGCATACGGTAAGGGCGGGGGGGGGGGAATCTGTCCCTCTCACCGTTTTTTCAGAAACACCTTTCGAGCCAAAACACCTAAAGGCGTGTATTGGTATACATTGCGCTTCGTTGTAAGGATTGAGCTTCAAACAAGTGGCAAATTTTGCAGTTGTTTACACTTAATGTAAGGTGCCTGGTGGCAGACCTGTTAAGATCGGTGGTAAAGCATACTGAGGACATATCGAAACGTTCCCTTCCTGTCGCTAGTCACGGCAGCATACATAACGGTACACACGTAAATGTTAAGATGCTGTCCGGCCACTCAGGTCAATCTAGGTAAATCTAATCACAGAACACCGAGTCAACTTGAGTCAGAGCTTTCGTGTGGATATTTGGCTAAATACCCATCATGTAGATAGAAGTGTGCAGAATTGGTGTGTAATCGTGATGTCGATGTTTTAATTTTGATATGTAACAAGTTAAGTGCACATTTCGTGATTTAATGGGCACTTGATTAAACGGAGTATGCATTTTTTCATGCATTTTTCACCCATAGCTAGTTCGAACGCGTGCGATTTCGAAGGTTTCTCTACAAGGTGTTCTGAATAGACCAGAATTGCGATTTGAAATAGTGATTTCGATGGAGCTGTGCCGATGTACACCTTGCTCACGCCTATAAAAGTGATGGTTTTCTTTTGCTGTGCTTTTTAACGCGTGAGTTGTGTGAGGTCGCAAAACATTAATCGGCCAAAATGACCGTGCGATGATTAGTATGATTGTAATCAAAACACCACATGAAAAAAACAAACAGCATTTACATGTATGAGGCTCTCATTATGAGTCCCTCAGCATTAAACAAAGCGTCACTCTGTGGCCCTGATTTATCCCCTTTGAAGTCAATGAAATTCGCTTGACGTTACGTTAAGAGAAAGCCAGGTCCGCACCGCCCTCGTTCACACGCTCTGAGTCGATCATGCATGCACCGCCTGCGCATATTCTTCAACAGACGGCATCTTCACTGTGATCGTCAGTGAGAAAGGCGTTTTATCGTTCGTAGAACCCGTCCCTCCCGCAGAATATTACGTCGCCGCGTGACTCACCCGGCGGTGCGGTTCCTTTGTGTGCGGCGCACGATCACGTGCCTGCCGACTTTAGTAACTGCAACGCCCACCGGAGCCTATCCGCAAATATTAAAACGAACTCGGTTTCCGTTAACGGCCTGTGCTGGAGAGCTCACGGGAAGTGGCGGGCCACGGAAGGATCCAATACCTGCCAGCCATGCGCGTAGTTCCAGGAGCAAAGCCAGGGTGTTGCAGATGACCTCGCGGCCTAGAAATATATCAATTTGGTATTTGTTCATCCGTGTGAAGCACCCCTGAGCTGCATTGTCACCCACGCCACTTTTTTGTTCGCTCCTCTCCTTCTTCTCACCCTTCCGTTCACGTCCTCTGTTCTCCGAGTTCCCACCCTCGAACTCGTCGGGGGAGGGGAGGGGGGGGGGGGGGAGGGGACAGCTTTGTGAACCGCCCGTTGCCCCCAGCTTTGGCGCAACAGGTGGAACGATGGAAAGGAATTTCCACAAGCGTAGAATGCAGAAACGTTGTTAGCGGCATGTAGTGCAGAGGCGTCGTCAGGTATGCATCACAGGGGAGGACATGTTAGCGGCATGGGCGCAAAGGCGTCGCCAGGGACGCATCGCAGGGGTAAGGAATAAAAGTGACGCGGAGCGCAGAGGCGTCGTCAGGGATGCATCACAGGGGGGGGGGGTATATTTGTGACGTGGAGCGCAGAGATCTCAACAGGGAAACATCACGGCGGCAGGTCTGCTAGTGGCGTGGAAGAGGCGTTTCCAGGGATGCATCACAGGGGGAGGGTATACCAGCGGCGTGGATCCCGCAGGTCCGTTGCATGAAATATTCTTTGACGGACCATTTGGTAAAGCGGTTGTGGACAGGCCACATTCGTTTTTGCGTTTGACAGGAAGTTTTGTCATTAACAGACGCGTGTTCCGGGCTGCCTTAAAAAGTCCACTTTTGCTGACATTACAAATTAGAGGCAGACATCAACACGAGCAAAGAGCTGCCGCTTCTAGTCACCAATGGAAAGTTCCCAGGCCACGACACCGCCACGACAGGCTCCGCCACCACAGGTAGGCCTGTCCAATTTCTGCATTGTGATTGCGACTCACGAATTATCAGCGGGTGGCCGTGCTTCCGCATTCGGGACACCACAGTCTGGACGACTGTTGACGTCTGGTCTAGCCTGTTGCATAATGTGCCTTAAAACGCGCCAGGGTGACCGGTTGGATACCCTTAGCTCGGGTGGGGGTCAGTTTGACCCCTTGAGATCTCACGGACTAAGAGAGCTAGATACACCAAATTTTTTATTGAATGTGTTGATCTTTACGTAAAGTCACTTAGGTCAAGGTTTAAGGTTCTTAAGTCATGAGCTTAGGCTCAAATAAGCCAAACAAGGCCAAATTCCAGGTTGGTCGCAAAAGTGCCCCTAAAACCTAGATAATTGCTTTAAGCAAAAGGTCACATGTTAATCTAAGGTCAGCGACCTTGTTTAACCCTTTGAAGGTCATGGTGAACAAAAACATACAAGATCACTGTGATTTTGGCGTTTGGTTAAGCAACAAAGATTAATCTAGCCAGTCTGTTACTGAAAATCAAATGTTAGCCTGGGTCATTCTAGGTTAATGACCTATTCTGACCTTTAAGAAGTCTATGGAAGGTGTATAATACTGTTCGTGTCATCCATCAATCCGAAGTGAGCACCAGGAACTACCCCATACAGCAAGCACTAGAGTAATAAAACAAGTTAGTTCTGACCTTAGGATGACCTTCATTCGTGATCTTAGGTAAATGTAACTTGCTCCTTCAATGGTTGTTTTGTCTAAGCACGTATCTCAGCAGTGTATGGCTTCGTCTAACGCTCGGTTGTTGGATCAGATTGAACGATTCCCGAGAAATTGTCTTCGCTGAAACCACGGCCTGACTTTGACCTGCCATAGGGCAGCGACCTTACAAGGTACGTATAAATTTCTGATGCCAGACGGTCCGCTATTCAATTTTCGATGGCTATGCAAAATTTGATGCGGCTACGCTGCGCCGTTTGGAAACCATTTTGGAAAAACTTTCGGGGGGGGGAATTTGACCCCGACCAGGGCGCGTGTTAAAGGGAATGTATCACATTTTAAAGATGTTGCCGGAAGCATCGGATATCATGAAAAACTCATTTGGCCCATTGATGTCTTTAAGGGAAAATTTATGTTCTAGATAAAGGGAAATACTTCTTAGTAGATGCGCCGCGCAACACGTCATCATTTGATTAAGTCAGGTGACGTTTTTATGATGTCAGAGTCGTTGCCAGGCTGGCAGTGAATGGCCGTGCCAGCATTGCCACTGTAGGGGACAAGTACTTCAACTCACTGCAAAGTGGCTGGTTACTGAATGCGTGTGTGAAAGTTCAATGATCGTCGTGCATGCATGTTTTGGCCCTCTCTCGTGATGTTGTTGTACATTTCCGTTCCATAATCGCATGTCTGCTTGCATTTTTGTCAAAATACTCATATTTCAAAACCAGGTAATTATAGATCGACTTCCACGCTCACATCTTTTGAAAATGATTGGCGCAAGCATTTTGTTTTATTCTTGTCCTGCGCTGTAGGGATCCAGTTTCCGAGGCAAGGAAGCTGCTCAGGGACGCATGTTTCCGAAATTCATCAGCAACAGTAACAACTCCGAGTTCGTGTATTCAAAAAAGCCCAATCAAAGCCCAAGCCCCAAAAATAATGTGCAGTATGCATGCCGTGCAGCTTCATCCACGAAAAGCGTATTTCGATGTGTTGCGTGTGAGTCTGAACAACTACAGTCTACCGGAACCATTGATACTCAACAACGGTAACTGTTGAGGACAGAACGGTGTCACGGTCTGCGGCAGGCCTCAATAATCAGTTAGCAAAGCCTGTCCGTTAAGAGTAGGAAAGGCAGCAGCCGAAAATCTCCTATCCGCTGAGATATTGAGTTTGAAGGGATTGGCCGTCAGGCCGGGACAGAGCGGGTGTGGCTGGAACAAGCAATCGACGCACCCCCCGGCGGCCGCCACAAACACCAGTCGGCCATCACACGTGGGCGCCGAGGGAAGGCCGTCACCGAGCCGAGTGCAGCACGTGCCTCCGCAAGTGCCACGCGAGCCGCAGCCGTCACCGATGCCGATGGACGGATTGATTCCGCCACGGTCGTCGAACGGAAAAGCCTGCTGTGCAATCCCACCGGAGAAGGTGCTACTCCGAGCAGGTCGGTTGTGAGCAGCTGATGTGCTCACCGGTAGTGGCCGGACGACCCCGACCGCGGTCATCTGCCAGTGAAGTACAGTGCCAGTCAGACGTGTGCCATCGGTGTCATTGATGGCCAGGTAAAATGATAGGTATATCCATGGCAATTGCGTTGGTGTGGTTTTCCAATAAAATCGATGTTATTCCTTGTTATGCCTGTGTAACGCCCTGTAATAGAGCCTTTTAATGGATTTATGACTCATTTTTTTGCAATACATCTACACATGTGAGGCTTTATATAGTCACACGTTGCAGACAATATGAAAGCCAGGGGTGGAAATAGCAATTCAATAAAGCTTCACACTGTTAAAACTGTCGAAGGCTTCCATGCATTTGTGTAGTCTCCATGTTGGACAGACATTCCGAGAATGGTAAATGAGCGGGCACATTAACAGGTAAGGCCTCTTTATTACTGCTAACGAACTGGCACGGACACGGCATGACCTTGCAGGCACAAGGAAGCACATTTATGAGAATCTTACACGCGATGACATCGATCACAAATCACATGATGTGTCACGAAAAATAGTAATTAACCCATGTATGTGTGGACAGCTTCACTGGGGTTGAAATGCACCGTTCTAGGTGAACACACACGCCCCAACGCTTATGACCCACCTCATCTCATTCCAATGCAATTATGCCAGCATGGGTGGAGAAAACGAGAAAAATAGACAGCTGCTTTGAAGCGAGTGCACGATCGCAAGCGCATGCCACTGCCAACTCTTTTTAGCAAACCGAATGACGTCGGATACTCTCGCCTGTATTGCACAAGATCACAATTTTGGCCGTCGCTTTTTAGGTTAGGGGCCTGATCGGCTTAAATTCCACATATACTCGTTCTCCTTATCACGTAGCTTACGTGTTCGCTGCAATATACTGAAATGGCAAACGCTGTCTCCTGTCCGAGATGTAAAAACATAACCTTATGGCGCCTGCTTTGTCTGGTTGGAGTAAATACGCATCCTCTCCGACATCCCAACGTCCACTGTATCACTTACCAGCACCAATAGGCGAACAGGGCCAGTCTCGGAGATCTTCATGGCGCGCTGTGGTTGCTTCAGCACAGCCGAGCCACGACTCCCGCTCCAAGCGTAACGCTGTGACGCGAACACGCCGCCAGCAGCCATTAATATTCAACAGGAGCTACAATGGGCGGGAATTCCCGCAAGCGTGGAGCGCAGAGGCGTCGCCAGTGACGCAGTGCAGGGGAATGTACGCTGGCGGCTTGAAGTGCAGAGGCGTTGCCAGTGATGCATTGCAGGAAGGCAGTACACTAGCGGTGTGGAGCGGAGAGGTGTCGGCAGTGACGCATTGCAGGGGCAAGGTATATTAGTGGCGTGGAGCGTAGAGACGTCGCCAGGGATGCATCACAGGTGGGCATGCTAGCGGCGTGGAGCGCAGAGACGTCGCCAGGGATGCATCACAGGTAGAAGGCATGCTTGCAGCGTGGAGCGCAGAGGCTCCGCCACTGATATATCACAGGTAGAAGGCATGCTAGCAGCGTGGAGCGCAGAGGCGCCGCCACTGATACATCACAGGTAGAAGGCATGCTAGCGGCGTGGAGCGCAGAGACGTCGCCAGGGATGCATCACAGGTGGAAGGCATGCCAGCTGCGTGAAGCGCAGAGGAGTCGCCAGGGATGCATCACAGATGGGCATGCTAGCGGCGTGGAGCGCAGAGGAGTCGCCAGGGATGCATCACAGGTGGAAGGCATGCCAGCTGCGTGAAGCGCAGAGGAAAATGACCGTGGAGGAGGCGTGGAGTGATTGAATAACACGACAGACACGTCAAACACGCAAATTCATTAACCGATGCCCTCGAGCAGCGGCTGCTACCAACTGACTCAGGCGGATGTGGCATTGCCGACTACACCGCCTTACCGCATTAGACAGTTATTCATGATCGTTCTAAAAAATAACAATCCTGACCCATTTCCAGAGTTTCTCGAACATTTCACCCCGAACCTAAAGGGACGTTGAGCTCAGAAAGGACGGCACTGCACTTCTCGCCCCGTTCGGACCGAGTCACAGCGCGCGTGTCATGGCGCTGTCTTGTCCGCTTTGTGCTCCTCACCAAACGCTTAAAGCATGTTCAGTATTTTTCCTGCTGGGTCACTTCTGTCACAACCGACCGTCGCCCAAATATAAAAAAGCCGTGAGAAGCAAAAAGCAAATATCACGAAACTTAAAGGCAGGATAAAAAACATTTTAAGATCTCCGGGTCAGATTGACCTGTTTTATTTAGGTCTGGGTCATTTTGGTATGCGTCACATTGAACACATAAGACAACATACAACAAAACAAGCTCATCATTGAACTTAAAAGATCAACAAACGGATAAATGTCAAACTTGGTCAAACTGATTTTGCTTATTTTCAAGTAACCATGGTGATTGTAATGCATCCCCGGAATTCGGCAGCTGTTACGGTGGTAATAATGGCACTTATATTAATTGCATGATTGTAATACACAGTTGTGATGACATGTGTTTTCAATTGTGAGATATATTTTTCAGTTTGCTACGTTCTACAGCCATACACAAATATCTGAAGTTTTATGCTACGGAATCAACAGCTATCGTCTCCATCTTAGTCTTGGCCGCAAACTATGCTTTTGCAACACTTCACCTCAAAATCATTATTTAGGCCGGATATTTGCTTTGTGGACCTTGTGTGGCCACAGTTCTTGGCATGATGTCACCAAATTACTACCAATGGTTATTTAGGTATGCTCCAACGAAATGATCTTCACATTATGAATTTTACGCATCTTTTGCTTAAATTGTGTCCTCGAGCTGAAAACTCCTGCCTTCTGCTCCCACAGGGTTAATGGTCAGATATGGATTTCGAGCTAATAGTAACTTCCTCAATTTTTTGTTTCGAGACGAGTCAACAAATTTTAATGGCGTATAAGGAAGAGCAGCACGGTGATAAAAGTAGTCTCATTGGTCGCAAACTGAGCTATTATTTGCTGTGGTTATTATTGGGACCATATAAAAATGCAGATTTTAACATTTTTAAGTGACAAGATCAGGTTTCCATCAAACTTCAAGGCAAGATTATGATTTGAGCGCACAGCAATCATATAAATCACGTATCGTGCATATCATCATATCATTAACTACATATCAAACATTTCATTGGAATAACTTTAGCCTCCGGGCATGACGTAAGCATGTGGGCATGACACTACGTAAATAAGACAAAGCATAATCTCACCTCACTTGGGACGACCCGACAGGCCAGGCTAGGGCAACTTAAAATGCCTTGATTTGAAAGCAGTGGAGGACAATGGGATTGTGAGACACGCTATTTTTGTACGTTTAAACTTCTACCTGGCGCATCGGGCACCGAATTAAGAGAAAGTTGCATTCTCGCACGTAGCCAAAGGTCCCAAACTACCTGAATGGGAGAGACTACCCACCACACAGCAAAAGTTCGGCCGATTGCGCGAGCAGTATAAGACGGTCATGCCCCAACCGCATGCGACAGTCATAGGATTATCCGAAGCCTCAGCATGAATGAAGACTGCGGCATTCCAGAGCGGCTGGCCAACCGGTCAGCCGCTGCATCCGTGGTACACCACGATGGTGATACGTCAATTTGTGAGTCATGTAGCGGCGGATTTTCGCCGGATGCGCGGTCGCACCCGCCGCAAGTGGGTGCAAACGTCCAGTGACGAGCCCAGAGCTCTGGTGCCTGGAGCTCTGGCCATGCTGATCGCATGAGGGTTCGCCACCCACGTGGCTATGCTCGGACCACCACGCGCTGGCCTCGGCTGGCTCCTCGGTGACGGCGGCTCCATCCGCTGCCGGTGCAACAGGATCAGTGAGGTCTGTGAACCTTCCCCTGAGAGGTATGCCTGACGACGCCTCTGCACTTGGCGCTCGTGATATGCCTCTGCCCATTGTTCCGCCTCTCGTGTGCAAACGGCTCCCCAGCAGGCTTATCTCAGGACGTGACTGAGGGGCAAGAACATTGCGCTCAGGCCGTGCTGCAACAACGGAAACCCCCATCTTCACGTCCTGCCTGGGTTGGTTGTCGTTGCTGGTAAGTGCTCGAAGGGAGATCAATACATTTGAGCCTATCACAAAGGCCCGTACAATTGAATACGTTCACCGCTTACAAGTAAACGGCGCTAGACGTCACACCACCAAACACTTGACTTGCAGCCATTGCGCCAAGTCACGCAAAGCATGAATTGTATTGATGTAATTGCAATCCTAAAGATACAATCAAAACTGTAAATTGCAATATTTTACATCAGGCAGGTCCTTCAGCTGTCAACTCGTTGGTACAACCACAGGACGCAACAATGTAAATAACAATAAATTAATAAATCATAAGACGTAACCACAGAGGTAAGAGAGCTTACTCCGGTGTTTGAGCATCACGGAAATGCGGAAATAACAGTGATATCACTCTACATCTAAATACTCATTTCATACTTCCTCAATGTACATTAACGCGCGTGCGGGTGGGGGTCAACTTGACGACAAACTTGACAACTTGGCAACAAAAATTTAGATTTACCTTGTAAGATCGCTGACCTGTAGCAGGTCAAAGTCAGGCCATGGTTTCGGCGATGACAATTTCTGAGGAATCGTTCAATCTAATCCAACAGCGGAGTGTTAGATAAAGCCATGCATCTCTGATATACTTTCATTGGCAACACAACAACTGAATGTACAAATTAAATTGACCTAGGGTCAGGTATAAAGGTCAAATCAAGGTAAAAAACAACATTTTTTTCACTCTAGGGCTTGCTGCATGAGGTAGTTTCTGACGCCCGTTTCGAATTTATTGATAGCAGGAACCGCATTAGGCACCTTTCGTAGACTTCTTAAAGATTAGAACAGGTCATTGACCTAAAATGCCCCATGTCAACATTTTGTCTTTAGGAGCATAATGCCTAGCGTAATCTTTGTCGCTTTTTCAAATGCAAAACTTTTTACAAACTTGATCCGAACCATTTGAATGGATGGATTTCTGGGATCAGTGCTTACGCTAAGCAATGCTTGTTGTGTGAGCCCTGCCCCCCCCCCCCCCCCACCCCAATACTCGATCGCGCAATTCCAGGCAACGGCAGAATTTAGTGGCGAAAGCTTAACGTGTCGCAATGCCCGGCACGCTCCGTCCTGCCCTCTGATGTCATCTGACCTTCAGCGACCACTGCCACCGGTCGCAACCACACCTGTCAAGGGCAAGTAGCGAGCGCCTTAAAGCGACTCGAACCCACCCCGCCACGGGTGGGTGGATCGGAAGGCAAGCGCTCTAACCAATTAAGCCACCGGGACTGACTCAAAGCGGTCGTGTATGATTTTGGTCACCATGATCTTCAGAAGGTCAAACAAGGTCACTGACCCTAAATGAGAATGTGAAACTTTGCCTAGAGCAGCTATCTAGGTTCTAGACCAACTTAGACCAACCAACTAGACCAACTTTGGAGACCAACCTAATTATGACCTTGTTTGCCCTACTTGACCCGAAGGTTATAACTCAGGAACCTTAGAATATGATCTAAATGAGTTCACGCACAGGTCAACACACCCTGTGAATATGGTGTCTCTAGCTCTCTCAGTCCTTGAGATCTTAGGGGTCAAATTGACCCCCACCCGAGCAAAGAGTATCCAACCGGCTACCCGGGCGCCTGTTAAATGAACACCCGGCATGTGTATCTACATTGTAAATGATAGTTAGCTTCACCTTCATTGATGACTTTTGTCTACATCATCGGACAGTTTACGCGCTATGCTGAATGCACGAAGGATTTAAACTATGTGGGCATTGCGATGCAATAACGATGTCTATGTACTTTGGAGTCATGCTGTTTGCCAAATAACTTAGACTTTGAATGCGTCTGAGTGGCGCTGATCGACAACACCACAACGAACAGCAAGGATGATTGCCTGATGTTGTTTTGAGACGCGATTACGTTCCTTGGGTCTTCTGTGTACAAGCCCCACCCTTTGTGAGCGAACTGCTTTCCTTATCATCTTTCCATGTACGCATCGACTGGAAAACTCATGCTTTTGTTGTTTCCTCTGCGCTCCGGCTGTGGGAAGGGGGTGGGGGTGGGAGAGCAC